TTTGTGTTCTCAGTTAGTTTGGTAACAGATGTTCAAGCGTCCGATATAATTTTTTACATCAGACAATTTTAACCATAGCTTGCTAGTAGCGCCGTCTTTTGTCAAACGGCGGAAACTTATTTGTACAGAATTGGCCATATTCGACGGAAAGATGTTTTTTTTTTCAATCATGGGAAACGTCGTTACTCGATTTAACATCTTTTTCCCATGATTGAAAAAAAAAACATCTTTCCGTCGAATATGGGTATATATTGGGTCATCTAAAAAGTATCCATGGTTTTTTGTTACTAGATGTGTGTTGAAGGTCATATATCTAGTGACAAAGTACCTTATTGTTCCAACGACACTTATGTGCACGAGCATGGATAGTGTATATATAGAAGCGTTAATAATTACTTCTCGAAGATGATATGTCGTAGTGTAATTTTATTACACATGACTGAATTTGTAAAAAAGTTCTTTAATTTGGTAAAAAAAAAAAATTAAAAATTTAAGAAAATTACGAATAGTGAGGGTATTTTGTTAAACAAATAAAAAATTTTTTTTATAACTTTAAAGTACTTGTAAAGTCTTGAAACCGTACAACTTTTGTTTGAAAAATTTTTTCTGTCTTTTATACTTCCAATGATATTCGGCTCGAAAGAAAAATATCCGTTTTTTCTTCAAACGGGTGTTTCCCTTTTGAATCTCTTAAACATGAATTAGCGCACGAAAAAAAGATATGTTTCTCTTAGATTTGTATGTTTTTCAACATATTTCGTGGAGAATCAAATCAGTTCCGGACAGTTGTAAAACTTCCCTTGTCAGAATAATTTTTCTAAATGTATCATGAAAACTTTTAAATTTTAATTTTAGTTCTTCCGAACTAAATTTTCCTGTAATGAAGATTTTATTTACTAAGATTAGTTTTTAATCAGTACTTCTTAAAAAAAGACTTATTATTTTGTTCTTATTATTTAAAATTTGTTCAATTTCCTCTCACAATTGTTTTTTAATTTTTCCATTTCGCTCTTTTAATGGTATAATTCCACTATGCAGACCTATTCTGTACTTCAACTTCTTCGTCATTAAAATTAAATTTTGATATGGATGTTCTTTTGTGTGATTTAATTTTGTTTGATGCCGCTGAAATAATTATTTTTATATAAAAATACTTGAGAAAGAATAACTAAAACAAATTTGAAGAATTAAAAAACATACTCCATCAAAGTGGCTACATAGTAATAAAAAAATAAAAACAGACCAAAATTCCAAATCAAACCAAGATTCCAAAAACAAATTTAAGAATTATTTCAAGAACAAACAGAATATAAAAATACATCTGTCATTTATTACCTACTATTCACAATTAGTATTAAGTTATTTTTTCCTGATAAAGGAATTTTGTAAATATTTCTATTTTGTAAACAGAAATATTTACAAAATGACAACATTAGTACATTGGTTAGTAATTAATTAATATAAAATATTACAATTTTTGTTTGTTTAGATTCCTTTAGGTATAATTTACCTTGGAATGATTCTATTTGTTCCTGATTATTAATTATACTATATCGAATAATTGTACTGCTATCATCTATAATACATAGAGAAAAGCCTCCTATTATGAGATATTATGATAGGCGGTTAATGAGATAGTGGCGTTTCTGCTAAAATAAATATCTATTGGTTCCACCATGAATTTATTGCTCTTGTTAGATTGAAAATTAAAACCATTTAGTAGAAAATTCATTATTAGATCATTATAAAATAAGTCATTATAAAATAAGATTTTAGAATTTGAATGTCTTCAAGTTTCATTAAGATGAGCATTTAAACTTTGTTTATTATTCAATAAAAATAAATATTTGGCAAGAAATTCTTCATGTAGTAATAGAGTAAAATTGTACTAATAGAAAAATATGGGATATGTTGAATTGTTTAATTACAGAAATTAGCTTTGATGATCATAAAATCATAAGACGTGAAATCGTAATATGAAATACCTAGGATATTCTTAATATGAAATAGCCCATGCTTTATGTTATAATAAAAATCGTTGCTAAAGTATAAATGTTATGATACTATATGATAATGACACTATATGATAATAAAAAAGACAACCGGAATGAACATCGAGTGCCTATATCTGCGATGCTTGGCAGAACCATTTCAACTACCTGAGTTCTGAGTATAATCTATCGCATGCTCATTTTTTGCGTACGCTGGCTGTGTTTGTTTGTATTTTAGAAACATTAAATAAAATTTTTTAATTGCAATACTGATATATTGGGTCATCTAACAAGTATCCGCGGTTTTTTGTCACTAGATGTATGTTGATGGTCATATATCTAGTGACAAAGTACCGCGGATACTTTTTAAATGACCCAATACTTCGCGTTTTTCACTATCAATTTTTCGGGACATCTCATTAGGTCGAGCACAATTTTTTGACTTTGCGATTTGTTCACTTTACATTTCTTTAATTTAAAAAAAAATGGAATTTGAATTAAATTTTATATAACGTTATCTTAAAACTTTAAATTCCCTTCAAAATGACCTATTATTTTTTTAAATTATGCCTATAGACTTCTAGCATTTACCCAAAATGAACTCAGTATCTCATAATAGGGGCCTTTCCTCTATTGATATTATTGGGTCATCTAAAAAGTATCCGCGGTTTTTTGTCACTAGATGGTGTTGATGGTCAACACCATCTACCATGACCCAATATATTAAAATATATAGTAAGTTTCTTAAAATAGAATAAGAAGTCAATTTACCTAATACTGGCTAAAAATATAAAGTATTTTCATCAACAAAATAGTTATTGTAATCTTCCAAACAAGAATGACTTTTTAAATTTTCGACTTCACATATCTCTTCGCACATTCCGCAAGTGTGTATAATTCTTTGAAAATTCCTTGAAAAAACATATAAAGTTGTAAAAAATATCATTTAATAAAGAACTTTTTAGCAAGTATCATAACAAGTTTATTAGAAAATGTATCCTATAAGTTAGATTTTCTAATGGACTTGCTGCATTCTGCATTGTTGATTATCGTAATTAAAATATCTTTTAACTATAAACTAATAATGAAAATATTGTTTTACTTACATTTTTTATGTTTATTTTATGTTTAAAAAACGTTTATATTGCACGATGCTATACATTGCAAATTAACGCTAGAAGTTAGAAAAATCCAACTTCTTCCTTTTGACGCTAGCGTCAAAGTCATGTCACATGAGAGTGCAAACCTATGCAGCGGAATAGCGGAACACGGAATGAGAGCAGAACCAATCACGAGCGTTCCGCAGTTTTCGTTACATGATTCGAATCCCTTCACCTCCGTGGAGCGCAATGAGCGTAATGACTCCTGCACTGGATGCGAAAACGCTTGCCGTGCGGCAAAATGAGACGCGGTAACCAATGAGCACATTAGGAGCTGTAAGCTTATTGACTACAGCATCATATTTTGCCGCGCGGCAAGTGTTTCCGCGTCCAGTGTGCAGAAGTCATAAGCGGAATTATCAGCAAATCCATAAATGTTGATGTTTTAATATTGTATTTGTCATTTATTTTTTATTATCATGTATCTAAATACAGAATTAAATGCATTTCTCATTGAAAATAATCATTAAAGATGTTAAAATTTATGAAATTAGTCTTAATGTGATTGTAACCTTTATGAAATAACGATTTATGATTGGTTGCACAAAGTCTGCGATGCGCTCATTACGCTACATGGGTACTTGAGGGTTCACGTTTCAACGTAACAAAACTAGCGGAATAACAACGTGATGAGTACAGAGATAAATTATTAGGTAATTATCCAGAAGACGCTCCTCATCTTCAATTTCAATGAAATTATACTCATTCGACGCGGTATTATGTGACCGCAGCGTATGCTCACATCGCAGTGTTTCATGGCTGACAGATTTTCTAATCTAAATAGTCGTCAATTTTAACGATTAAATCTCACTTCTCGGGACTAGGCACAACATTTAAGTGACAGATTCTTTCGTTTTATGCAAAAACGCGTCGAATGAGCATAATTTCATTGAAATTGAAGGAGCGTCTTCTGAATAATTACCTAATAATTTATCTCTGTACTCATCACGTTGTTATTCCGCCAGTTTTGAAACGTGAATCCTCAATACTCATATAGCGTAATGAGCGCATCGCAGACTTTGTGCAACTAATAATAAATTGTTATTTTATAAAGATTACAATCACATTAAAATTAATTTCATAAATTTTAACATTTTTAATCATTATTATTTTCATTGAGAAATGCATTTTTCTGTACTTAGATACATGATAATAAAAAATAAATGACAAATACAATATTTAAACGTCATTTATGGACTTGCTGTTGATTCCGCTTACGCTCATTGCGCTTCATCGAGATGAAGGGATTCGAAACCGCGTAATGAAAACTGCGGAACGCTCATAATTGGTTCTGCTCTTGTTCCTGCTCCTATTCCGCTGTATGGGTTTGCATCCTGAGGATGCGATCCCATGATGCGGAATTGGAAAAACGCTCGTTATTGGTCGTGGTTTCATTCCACGATTCCGTTCTGCTAAAATGTGTTTTCCTAAATCCTATGGAGCGGAATTTCCGGAATGCGTAATTAGCACTGACCAATCACGAAAGCCTTCCCATAGATTATTTTTACTAGATCCACCGGAATACCTTTGTCATTGGCTTGATTGTGCATCTGCAAGTTCCGCTCCATGAGACATAGGAAACTAAATTCTTGCGGATCGAAAATCACACATACAGCCGGTCACAGAAATGTTGCAACACTCGAAAACGCATTGATTAATAACATTTTCGGCCCGACCAACTTTGCACTAACTTGGATTGTAATGATGTTTCGTTCTCTCTCATTGGTAGAGCGTGTAATATCAGCCAATAGCGAAGCATTTTTCTAACTCAAATTGGTGCAAAACCGGTCGGGTCGGAAACGCTATAAGTATATTTTTATCACAATTTTCGATGACCGTATTCTTAATATTTACTATCCGCTTGAAAATTTATTTCTAGATGTTAAAATGGTAAGAATAAGTGTCACTCTTGTTTATTAAGTATCTATCAATCTTTTTTCTTTTTTAGTAATTATTTAGAATAACTCCTCATCTCCGATTTTAATGAAATTAGGCTCATTCGACGCGTTTTCACTCGAAAGAATCTGACAGAAAAACGCAGCGGTCGGCGTCGTTCATCGAGTTATTTTACGATAAAGAGAGACTTTAGAGGTTAAGATATCTGTCATCATTCGATTCAATATATCGCTATGTATGTGTTCTGTGCATTAATTATACAAATTATCTGCTTCACAAACACAAATTTACTGCTTCATAAACACAAATTCATTGATTTAAAAATACAAATTCTCTGCTTCACAAACAAATTTACTGCTTTAAAAAAACAAATTCACTGCTAATGCAAAGAATTTGTGTTTAAAGCAGTGAATTTTGTTTTTAAAGTCAGTGAATTTGTGTTTTTAAAGCAGAACGTATACATAGAGCTATATTGAATCAGAATGACAGATATCTTAACTTCTAAAGTCTTCAACTTTAATACTTAATAATTCGATTCACGAGGCCGACCGCCGCGTTCTTCTTTCAGATTCTTTCGTTTTGAGTGAAAACGTGTCAAATGATCATAATTTCATTAAAATCGGAGATGAGGTAGCTATTCTAAATAATTACCTCTTTAAATTAAATTCACTAAACGTAGCTTAAATTATACGATATATATATATGTATATATATATATATATAAGGATATCGTTAGCAAAAGTTATATATTTAAAATTCAATCAAAAACTAATAATAAACTAATAATAAACTAATAATCATAAACAGCCAAGATGTGGCTATCTTCAGTATGTAGAATATGTAAAATAATGAGGTCAATATAAATTTGAGTGAACGTGTTACAATTAATTACAAAAATGAACGCATATCGTACAATGACAGATTTTTAGCAAGAGTTGCTAATGTCAATCGATTAATTCGTCAAGTTAATCTTCGTGTATTTGGTCTAGTAACGATTCCCATGTATCACATTTCCAAGTTCTATGATATCAGGCAAAGTTGTGCGAGGTATAATGACGAGAGAAAACATTTTTGTTTGAAATAATTTTAACGTCTTAAAACAATTACCTCTTTTTTTTTTAGTATGCTTTAACTCATAAAACAGAAAATGCCCATGAAGATAGTATATGGACTTGTGGATGGGGTTGTCCAAAAAGGAAGAAAGAACATCTGGATAATGAAGATTCACGGTAATTAAACAGTTAAGTTAAAATAAATAAAAAATTATTTTAATGACAGGATTATATTTGACAGTGATTCTGTACAGTCTAATGAAGACGAGACAGCAGAATATCTTGTAACAGCTTCTGTGGATGATTCTGTGAAAGTATGGGAATTGAAGGAGGATGCTTTGAAGTTAAAACATAAGTTAACTGGATATTCCTTGGGAGTTGTATCCATAGCTATTAGCTCAGATGGATCAAGTAAACAAATAGAAATATTGGCTTAAAATATATTAAATAGCTTAGAGTTATGTTTTATCATTAATTTATAGAATGTGCCTCAAGTTCACTTGATTCGAGTCTAAAATTATGGGACTTATATTCTGGTGATAAGTTATTGAGCATTGAAGTTGGTCCAGTAGACATTTGGACTTTAGTCTTTTCTCCAGATGATAAATTCATTGTATCTGGCAGTCATGCTGGTAAGATACATCTATATGGAACTGATAATGGTAAACAAGAACAGACTTTAGATACAAGAGGTGGAAAATTTACATTAAGTGTAGCATATGTAAGTACATTGCATAAAAATCTATGGGTGCATTTCAGCTAACAAAGTGGCTAGCTTGCTCGCCGAGCAAATGAACATTGTTATTTATAGATCCAACTAATCATGTATAATCGCTCGGTAAGCATGTTAACCGCTTTGCCGTCTTGAATTCACCCTATGATACATGTAACTTGTATATAAGAAATTGCTTTTCACAGAGTCCTGATGGTAAATATATTGCAAGTGGCGCAATAGATGGTATTATTAATATCTTCGATGTTGCCTATGGAAAAGTTTTACGTACCTTGGAAGGTAGATTCAAATATACTATTATAACATTGACATAAAATGTTCTATTTTTAAGTTTTATATTATTTAGGTCATGCGATGCCTATCAGATCTTTATGTTTTTCACCCGATTCTCAGTTGCTTCTTACAGCATCCGATGATGGACATATGAAACTATATGATGTGTGAGTAAATTTTATATAAACTTTATAAATATACAGGATTAATAACATTACTTCATAAAAATAACTATTATTTTTTGTAAAAAGCGACGGTAATGTTAACATATAGTAACTTCTTATTAATTTTATTTGGTATTAATTTCATAAAGTAATGATTTGTTACTTCTTTTGTAATATTAAAGTAAGATATTGAATTTAAAAATTATATTGTGTAATAATCAATATTAATCGTAACAATCAATATTAAAACTTAAAATTCTGAGCGGGTCTCTATATAGTAAGCTTTTCATTATATTAAATTTATATCTAATAAATCTTATATAATTTTTTGTATTAATGAAATTGAATGCCTTTCAGAACCAGTATAAGTTAACGTGTATATAAATATTTTTTTATTAAAGTAGACATTATATATTTACAATAATCGAACTGTTAGTACTTGTTAGTATTTGTCAGTTATCAGCGTTTCATTAAAATAGGCAATTTGATGAACAGTTGCGACAAAAAATTTTTTATTTCGATCAATTCTTTGATGGAAGTATATCAATTGTCCACATCACTATAATTGGCTAATTTAAAATAATATAATTTCATTGCAAGTGAAGCAGTGAAAAATTACTAGGAACAGGCCGATATGAGTGGTGTGTGGAATTGAACTGTGTGCAAGTGCGCCGCTCCTCTTTGATTAGTTTGGAGTTCAATAAATGTTAACAAGATTGTGGATTTAATAATCATTCCTGACCAGCTTACTCCAATATATGACCATTTTAACTCGTTTTGTACACGAATGTATCTAATTTAATAATTTTGTCATTTTATCCACGAATGTAATATTTTTAAAATAGTATATCTATTCTTTATTTACTGAAGAAGATATAAAATAGAATTTAAACATGCATAATTTGTTTATTTTAATAAAGAAAATATTTATACACACATTAACAACTTGTGTTGACTCTAAAAAGCATTTTACTTCATAGATTTATTCATTAGAACATGAATTATTTCTTTATATTAATATCTTTATTTTATATATGCTCATTTTTAGGAAATTAGATTAACATAAATTTACGAACGTACATTTTATAAAAATTTTTATTAAACATTGTTTTTAAATATCTATGTCGTTATTAAGAGTGCATTCCAATATTCACTATAAATACTAATAAAAATTTGTAGTTCATATTACATATATATGTATATTATAAATTTTCAGTATTGACAATGACTATTAGAATGCAGCCTAAGGTGCAAAGTGCAAAATATTTTTTGATATTTAAATTTGCATTGTAAAATATGTCTAGCCAATTAAAAATAATATGATCTATTGAATAGTTATAAAGTAATAAGATATTAAAGGAATATATTGTATAATAAGAGAGTAGAGTAAAAATAACGGGTGAATTCATTTCTGTGAAAATACAATATCGTTACCGTTACCGAAAAAAGTATCGAAAATAATAACGGTGATATAAATTACAAGTTACTTCCCAACTGTAAATATATATGGATTTCTTAACACTGTAACTTGACAAGTTAGATTGATAAAAGAGTATAAAAGCCAACGCAAGGTGACAATGCAATTATATATTAATTCAATTTGACCTTCAAACAATGATTCAAGATCATCAAAAGATAGTCCCCTTCATGACGCCTACAACTTTTATTTGAGGTCATTTTCCTTGAAAGTGCATACTTTTGGAGATCATAGGGGGGGAGGGTCCCATTCTTTTCGAATATTGTATAATTCTGTATATTGATAAACATTTCGATCATATATTATCTTCATATATCACAATTAAAAAACAGATATTAAACGTTATTTATAATATATTACGTTGTTAACTAATCGACTACAAATTATTTAATATTAATATACGAATATCCATCACGCAAAGATTCTTTGTTTTCTTTGTCTCTTTTTTTTTATTGCATCGTTGAATGCGAAAATTGATTGTTAAATCTTCGAAATCCTGGTATCTCAGATCCTCACAGACTAAACGACAATTACAGAATTAAAGAACGCTCAGCAGATTTAATGAATCCTCGGATGCTTTGTCAGTAATTTCGAGCTAGATTAGAATTGAATTGCAGTTTTGCTTGGGAGGATGTATTTTGGATATGGAACTTTTTTATTGTAGGAGATTGATTTCTGAAATGATTTTTATAAAAAAAAAACAGATAATAAGTAAAGGCTGCCAGATATATATTTTCCCTTCCTTTATCAACTTCCCTCTCTTTAACCATTCTTCTCCTTTTCATTCACCACTTCCTTACTTATTTAGATTACATCATGCTTATATTTTCTCCACTTACATTGTCGATACATGTTCTCTTCTTGAGTGCTTGTCAGTGTCTTACACACAAAACTTTAAATAAATAATATATTCATTGATGTTTCTGTTCGATTCATAGGTACTAAAAATAATTTTTTTTATTTATAATTTTAATATACTTTTTTATTTTTTGTCATATTTAATGAATGATCAATACATAATTTAAATTGTGAATTATATAATTTGTATAAAATTTGGGACTATGAGGATCTAAGATGCCAGGGTGGATTTCAAAGATTTAACAATAAATTTTCGCATTCAATGATGCAATATTTTAAAAAAAGAGATAAAGAGAACAAAAAATCCTTGCAAGACGGACATTCATGTATTAATATTAAATAATTTGTAAACGATTAGTCAAGACGTAATACATTGTAAGTAGCGTTTAATAATCTGTTTTTTAATTGTGATACTGAAGATGACCAGATATATGGTCGAAATGTTTATCAATATATATGTAAATTAAATTATTATTAATATATAATTATATTGTCATCTTGCGTTGACTTTTATGTTCCTTTATCGATCAAATTTGACTTGATCGGAAGCCATTATTTCAAAAGTTTATTATAACTTGAACTGAGTTTTGACTATGAAAAGGAATGTAATTATACTAAAACTTTTGTTTCTTCTTAATTTTATTGATTGCAAAGAAAAGAGATTATTACCTTTCTACTCAAATCCGATTCTATAGAACTGATGTTTGTTTTAATTTTTATTTATTATTGTTTGAAAGTTCTTTCCAAGGAATAATGTACCATTATTATAACTGTTGTGTATTTCGCGGGTTTTCTCCGTGTCTAGATCCATTCTTGGAATATATTGAGTATCAGGCTGCTCCTCGCCCTGATGAAGTGGACTGCAAGGCTCACGAAACGTTGACATTCCAAGAATGGATCTAGACATGGAGAAAATTCGCGAAACACACAACAGTTATATAGAAAGCACCCGTGGAAGTCTCAAGAATATTATGTACCATGATTAATTTATCCCCAATTATCTGGGGATAAATTTGGTAAACCAAATTTTGTTGAAGAAGCTATTACTTTAGTAAAGAGCTATCTAGCATCCTCATAAATATTTTAGTTTTTTTACTAAACAGAAATCGATAAGTGCTTTATATTCTTTTTTTATTTAGCAAAGATGCAAATCTAGCAGGAACGATGTCGGGTCATGCTTCTTGGGTACTTGGTGTGGCTTTCTCACCAGATGGACAGCAATTTGCATCAAGTAGTTCTGATCATACAGTCAAGATCTGGGAATTAGCACAAAGACAATGTTTGCATACATTTCGTGAACATAAGGATCAAGTATGTCTCTTAAACATGAAATAATTTTATTTTATTCAAAAGTATAATTTAATTTTAATTTTTATAAATTAATTTTTATAATAGGTCTGGTCAGTTAAGTATAATCCACAGCGAAATAATATAATTGCGTCAGTATCTGAGGATAAATCTATTAATTTATATGAATGTCCTATATATGAGAAATAATTGCATTAAGGATCAATAAATATTTTTTGTCTATATCGTTTATTCTGTTTATTGGTTGCAAACAACTGATGACATTTCTTTCAAGTTTATGAAAGACCGGAGGATATTTTTTAGCTACAAATTTTATTGTACTGCAAGTAGTAATGTACAAACTATAAAGATCTGTGACGAATTTGAAATGCGACATGTAAAAAAATTATTTTTAAAACCTAGAACGGAGTGAAAATGATTTTATAAAAAAGAAATTACAAGGATAGTCATGGTGTACAGATCAAATATTTTTTAATGAATAACATAAAGGTACCCTGAGTGGTTCCAAGTTGGCGGAGTTAAATTTAATTAACTCGAACTGGAACAGGGTAAAATGTTTACAGAGAAGACTTTTCAATTAAACAAATAAATACGTATAATAAATTCTAGCTCATGTACCAAAAGATCTCCTTCCGATAAGAGTTTGGTAATGATCTGATTCCCACACAAAAAGGAAAATTGATATGATATAAATGATGAAAGATGAAATTAAAAACAAAATTAAAAATGATAACTTGCAGTTGTGCTCATTTGCATTGAAATCTTTGATGAAAGAAAGAAATATTAAATAATAATTAAATATATAGTATTTTAATCTTAAATCTATGTCTTGTTGACCTGTACATCACTTCAATAATAAGTACATTTATTTCCGAAAAGGATCGATTTTGATAGACTGTTTATAAGCGAAATTAGTATCCATGTATAGTATCCATGTATGAAGATATATTGGTTGTAAACTGGAAACTTAAATATACACTCGTAAAATTTTTTGCTCAGTAATGTCATTTTTAGTAAACTACTTAGACCGTTTTACGTTTATGGTCGATGTAAACGATATTTTTTCATTACGATTAATTTTCGATCGAAGCTAATTTCGCTTATTCCAGAGCTTTCGTTTTACTTATTAGTCTTGATAAAATAATTATATCTTTTATCTCTATTTGTAACAGATGGTACGAATCAGTTAATATGAAAGAAATAAAATACAGATTACACCTTATTTCTCTCCGATTTTTCAATTTCAAATACAAAGATGTATCACTAGTAAGGTATCACCAGTGTATCGTGCTACACATCGTACATAATTTTAAACACGCTACTAAAACTTTCTATATCCTTCACTTATGTTATATTAGATATTGATATACAGGGTTGGCGATATTCGACGGAAAGATGTTTTTTTTTTCAATCATGGGAAACGTTACTCGATCTAACATCTCTTTCCCATGATTGAAAAAAAAAACATCTTTCCGTCGAATATGGCCAACCCTGTATATATATATATATATATGTATATATATACAAAATTAATAATCGAATAATCGATTAGAATAAATAATCAATTAGAATCATCGCTACATATGATGGAAGAAGACAAGTGAGATAACGCGCATAACAACAATTCAGAACAATCAGCTAGTCAATCAAATTTGGTCAATCATAAATTTTGGTCTTACCGCAGCAAAGACTTTTGCATAATACATAATGCATAATGCATAAGAGAATCAACAAGAGAAAGGAAAAATTCTGATTAGTTGATTCGCTTATGCGTTATGCAAAAGTCTGTGCTGTAGCCTTAAGCGGGAAAAACAGATTCTTGCATAACGCATAACACATAAAGCATAAAAAATTCAACCAATCAAAGTTCTTTATTTCATGGAAAGAAGGAAACGGAGGACTTTAATTAGTTTATTTTCTAATGTATTACGTTATGCGTTATGCAAGAGTCTGTGCGTTATGTCAAGAGTCTGTGCTTTATTCCTCATTGTCACACAATGGCCAATCAAGCTGAATCAAATTTGGATCCTAAATTTGATCTTACTGCGCATCCCTCAAGTTGTCTCATTTTTATCTTCTTCCATCATGGCTATATATATTATAAATTACGTTTACATGGCTCGATTTACATCAAAGTTAATAATATTATGAAACTGGGTAGTCATAGCTATTTCTCTGAAGAATAGAATAACTGTGATTGACCAGTTTCATAACATCGATGTTATAACTTCGGTGTAAAGGTGCCATTTCATGGGACGCTGAAAAGCAGCATCAAACGTGTTACGTGACCATCTTCTGTGATACTGCGTCAAGAAGAAGTCGGATTTGATTCAACTTCTAAACGTCAACGTGACAAGCAAAATAAACAGGTCAGAAATACAGGGATAGATACAAAAAAGAAGAACACGACAAAGTGACTAAATTTAGATTTAAACAAGGTGGAATCTGAAGAGAAGGTAAGTACTTATTTATAAATAAGTTTAAGTCATATTAATTGTTTATTCTAAAATTATTCAATTTTTTTATCACTCTAAAATAAAAAGTTAGATTAAATCTGCAAAATACCCAAATAGCAACGTGTCTGTCTTGTTGCTGGCATGTTGCTTGCTATGTGTTGCTATCAGAATTGCAGCAACTAAGTCTTCATTTGTTGGCAATTTGATGTTTTCACGATATGATAACATTGAATAGCAACTTGCCAGCAATTTGCCGGCAACTTTAAAATTGTCAAAATTTGTATTATTGCCATCATGTTGCCACAATAATATGCAGTGTCATACAATGCTGTCATATTGCCAAAAACACAAGATAACATTGATGCAGCTATCTTGCTATTAAACTACTGGCACATATGTACATTGTTGTCTGCATGTTGTTACAATGTAGATATATTCGTTGAAGACAAATCTACGGTATCTACTAAGTTGTCAGCATTATAAGTAATCAACAGATTTGCGCGATTTTGCTGAGACGCGCTTTGCTATCCGGGTATATACCTATTAATTTGGACGAAAATATCGAAATAAATAAGATATAAATAAAAATATTTGTAAAACATAATTTCAATAGTTGATACTCTAATATCCACATTAAAACAAAACAAAAATTTTTTAAACAAACGCGTTTATATTAAATTAGAAGTTATATGCGATATTATATTCTTTTATCAGTATAATAATTTTCATACTTTCCGAAAATATTAATTTTAAATATTTAGTACAAATTTTATATTGAATATTAATTTTAAATATCATTTTCATATCTTTTTTATCAAATTTCGTAGTAATGTCAAGTATCTAAATTAGTTCATAAGTATATATTTTTTATATTTCTATTCTATCACTGCAAAGACTGAAGACTAGACTGCTGCTGTTACTGATTTGACTCTTAAAATTGAACACTATAACCTTTTCATGCACTTTTCGCTATTCAGCGGCAACTTCGATCACGTGATCCACTTTGACGCTGAAAATGAGCGTCGAGCGTCAGCATGAAAAGGCACCTTAAATCGAGGTATGTAAACGTAGTCGTAGATTTTCGACTGATTCTCTTTCTTATCTCAAAATTATTCTATATCATCATGTATATATACAGCAGATAAAATGGACAAGAATGATCTTGAAACTTCCTATTGATATTTCACATAATTCTGTTGTTATTGAAGAAGTTGGCATCGCGTACAAGATTATGAATATTATAACTATATTTTATATTCTGGATAAAAAAAGTAAAAGAACTTGTACACGCCACTTGTAACGAGACAATGAAGAAAAAGATTAAAATTATCTATTTGTAATGCATATCACATATGACGAATGTGTGCGAGCAAACTTATTATAGCAAGCGAATATGCACAATGACTAGTCAGGAACGAAAAAGAGGCGATTATTACAGAACTTATTTATGTTTTGTTTACGAGGTACGTCTTTCTATACTGTCGTTACCCGAGTGGATCCTGTGGCTATTTCTGTGTAGCAATCTATCGTTTCTAATTTACCCTGCTCCTCGTTCGATCTAGTTTTGGCCGCTTGCGATGGAATGTCTGAGTTTAGATTGTAGTTGAAAGGCGATACGATTGCTGAAGCTGGCATCCGCACGCCGCTACTGCTGTCCTCCGCTGTTGTCATTGGGTCCACTCGAATAAAGGAACCAAGTCTGGATATTCTTTTGGTGAGATCCGCTTCTGTTGCGAGATCAGCGCTCGGTTGCTTCTTCATAGTCACTGGAATATCACTCAACTGTGTGATCTCCCGCTTGTACGTTTCTTGTATAGAAGATTTCACTGGTATCTTGCAGGTCGCTTCATAGGCATTCATATCTGTAAAATCGCAAGAGTTCCTGTATTTAAAACCGTCACATTCAATCTGCGTGCCTAAAACCGGTTGGTTGGATTTGGATTTGTAGGATGATATCTCGCTGTTACTGCCGTCCTCCTGGGAAATTCCCTCGAACGTGGAACTGCGAAATAGTCTGTATGCTGGCGGGTTATTAAACGTGCCAGCGGTTGCGACGTTTACCTCGGTGGCGCTATTAGTGGGCCTTATCCATTGTCTAGTGTCCGGCTTCTCGAAACGCTGCTTATTCTTATTCTCTTCGACCTTCTTCCAAAGATTCGCAATTTTACTCGTTGCCTCCTTCGCCAACTTACGATTTTGTATGCTTATAGGTGAATTAGAAATTATGCTGGAATTACTATTAGATCGTTGTCCCAGTGGATTGATCTTTCGAACAGTTTTGTCATTCTGTAACACATTACCGTTAAGAACTTTTGTTGATACACCTATTTTTCCAGATGATATTTTTTTCGATACCATTAACAATCCTTTAGATGATTGTATCTTTTCGGAACTGTTAACCACAGTTTTTGGCTGATATTCTTGTTGCGTTTTCACGGAGATTTTGGATTTTCCCGCTGTCGAATATATCCTTGACGAAACGTCTCTAATTGGTTTGGCGATCTTCGTTTTTATTGGGGAAGACGACATGGAATGCACTGTCGGTGCATTGTCTACCTCTGGCTCGTCTTTTGTAAAAGTTCCTTGACGTTCTAATGGCTTAATTGGGACTTCTGACGATTTACTATCGTTTTGATAGTTCGATGAGCAAGCCGGAGGTGTGCTATGACGCTTAGTGGGTTTTGTGGAAATTAACATGGATCCTCTTTGAGGTACGGAGGCTCTTTTGGAAACAGTCGTCAAATTTCGTGTCTTCTTCTCTACGTCCACGGAAAGCGAAGTCCTCTTCGGGCTCGTATTAGATTTCGGAGAGTCTTTCTTAGCAACTATTGTACTATTATTATTCTTTCGCAAAGTAATAGCTCTAGTAGCTCTAACAATGGGTGAAGTATTGCTGCGACCTATTGGTATTCCGCTGACAGGATTCACTTGCTTCAATGGCGAGGATTGTGGGGTCGGCTTTCGTGTTATTGGGTTGGAATATAGTGCCTTTCTTCGCCCTCGAATAGCTTTTGGACTTTCTGGCTCGGATTTATCCGTCCCAGTAGAATCCATACTCGGATCTCGATCTAATGTTGACGGCTTGATTATTCGTGCCCTTTTTGTTTCTATAGGTTCTTGTCCTTTATCAGCGCAATTGAACTCTTCTTCACTGCCTGAATCAACTGGGTTTGCCAAGCCCAGATTCTTGTAAGCGACTTCTATATGCTCGTCTTGCAATTCCTCATTATTAATATTCGCCATGGAAGTTTGGGCGTCGTTATCGTATTGTGTACTTATCAATTTTTTTGAAAGTCCGTTTACGAAACGTATTCTTAGATTATGATTTGACTCGGAATCATTCAACGCTAAAGTAGTCTCGCAACGCAAAATATTTGCGGTCGAATCATTAGTTTTATTTGACTCATTTAGAGTGTTTAGCACGATAGTGGCATTCTGTTCTAGCATGCTTTGAATTTCTTCCCGCACATATTCTTGCGCACTTGCTTGCCCCTCTTCCATTATGCCGATAATCGAAGCTTGATGTTCGGAATTGCATTCGATCTCTTTGAACACGGCTTCTGAATCGTTCAACGTCCTTGTACGATATCTCTCCTTGTTTTCTTGCGAATCCCTGTGTTTCTTTCTCATTGCTTTACACACGGGCAACTTCGTGAGCATAGGAATTGAAGACTTGACGGGGGATATAACTTCCTGTTTCTCAACAGCGTCTTCAACGGTCTT